AGAGGTCAAAAACTTTGATACAAATCCATAAATGAATAGTTTGGAAGCTTGTGAAAAGAATGTTCTGGCTAAGCAAGTTCACATATCTCCTGCCTTTCAGTTGTTTTGAGATTGATCTAATGGCATTAAAATTATTCTGCTTACACTAATTATAGTCCTTTTTGGTCAAATCTTCCTAACTTTAGAAATAAATATTCTTTGTAGAATGCATGATAAATGCACTTGTAATATAGAACCAATTAACAGCACCAGTGCTATCCTCATGCTTTCCAGAGTGAAATAAAGTGACTAAACACAATCCTGACTGCTACTCTGAGAACTACATACTCTCTCTCTGTAACCACAGGACCAAGCTGATTACCCTCCCCCTGCTCTGCCTATGTCAGATGTAACTAAACATGTGTCTGGATTTGCATTCTCAGTGAAGTATAGGATACAAAGTTCAGTCTTGATCTCTGTAACATAGCTATGCAGGCAGAAAAGATGGAACAATTTTTTAAAGTCAGGTACTATCTTCATGTCAGAAAAAATAAAATGAAAATAAAAGAAGGCTCCTTCGCAAGAAGCACTAATGAAACTGAGGCCTGATCACCAAAGGGCTGAGTCTCACCTCTGAATGTGTTCAGCATGTCTAAGGTTCCAGCGATGGGCCAGGAAGGGAGCTCCGGGTTCACTGGCTGAGGCTTCTGTATCTGTACCAGCTCAGCCCTGTGAAGAATGACATCAGTTATACTTCAGGGCCAAAGGGTAACACAGCCGTTACCAACAAAACAATTTTTAATTCAAGATATTTCAACAGAATTCTCCATTTTTGGTAAAGAGGGTACATATTATATTCTAAACTCCTGGGAATATAATATGTTCCTTTATTTTTTTTCCCTAAATATAAATTATACCAAATTTCAACTTTACTATTCATCTTAGATATTATTTCATTTGTAAAGTTGTTAAGGTTCATTCAGTGCCTCCGTTCCACGTCCAGGAATGCAGAGACACAGGGCATTTTACAGACAGCAGAAAATTCAGGCAAAGCCTTTGGGACTTCAGTCAGCAAGTAGTCACCAAGCATACATTCATTAAAAGGAAGAGTGCACTGAGCCAGACAGCTTTGCTCTTGTCTGCCAGTAATAGAATCCAGCCTGGCTACCCTGGTCCTCAAGGTCTCGCTTCCCAGTGGCACCGGGAAGCTGTTCCCTCTGAGGTCCTGCCTACAAGGGGGCGTGCTGGTGAACAGGCTGAGTCATTGTACCACTCCTAGGAGCAAAATCACAGGCCCCCTTCCCATTCTTAGTGAGTCTTCCTCTTTCCTGTCTTTTTCATCTTCCCGCTCACTGGGACAGGTGTTTCCTCTGTGATACCTTAGAAAAACTCCCTAAGTTTTACTGTGGTGAAGCTGGAGAGGATGGGGTGAGTGTGTAGAACAAGGACAGAATATTGGATGGTTTTTACATGTATTTGAATTCAGTCAAATGAGAAGGAAACTTCTGAGACCAAGGAATAGAAGACCTTGGGGTTTTTTGGTATAAAATAGAAAATATATACAAGATCTTATGGTAGCTCACAGAGAAAACAATGTGACAATGAATATATATATATGTTCATGTATAACTGAAAAATTGTGCTCTACTCTGGAATTTGACACAACATTGTAAAATGATTATAAGTCAATAAAAAATGTTTAAAAATTTTTTTAAATAAAATAGAAAATATTAATGTTAATAACTCAAAAGATGGGCAGTCAGCCATTCACATCCTAGGGTTCCACACCTGTGAATTCAACCATAGATTGAATCTGTGAATTCTGAATGGAAAATATTCCAAAAAAAATACAGAAGTCCCAAAAAGTAAAACTTGAAAACAGTGCACATGAGGCGACTATTTACATAGCATTTAATTTCCATTATATTAGGTGTTATAAGTGGTCTAGAAATTATTTAAAGTGTATGGGAGGATGTTTGTAAATTATATGCAATTACTTTGCCATTTTGTATAAGGAATTGTGCATCCTGAAATTTGGGGGTGGGGTGGGGGCTGGAACCAGTTCCCCATGGTGCCAAGGGACAAATGTACATACACTTCATCGAAAAGATGACAATTTTCTCAGAAATTAAAAATCATTAATGTAAACTCACCTTTCCATTACATTTCGGAAGTCCTGCAATGAAAACAAGTAAGATCGTGTTAATCATGAGAGCTCTGTCCTTTTGCCTCTTTAGTATTCTTGTTGTTCAATAAGGTACTTTTTCCTTAGTTCCCCTTTAAGAAAGTCAGGCTATATTAATAAAAGGAGCTAAATTCAAAGCCTATGACAGGCTTCCTCAGGGTGCATTAAGGAAGGAAGAAGGTCAGGAAAGGGCTGTGTAACGAGGCGATAGCCTCCAGGTTCCCAGGCACTCATTGCCCAGCCCTATTCCCAAGGAGAGATCTCACCATTTACGATAACAGTTAAAACAGGGAATCGTCAAAAACTATTTATAGAATGCATTGAAATTGATGACCAATTCTAAAAATCTTGCCTACACAAGGAGCAAAACTTCAAAGTCTTCAGCAGTTGTGGGATAAGAGAGAGTGACAACAGATTAGGGAAACATATACTGAGACCTTCTCCCACAAGGTTAATGTTCCCCTGGTCACAGAGTTTCGCTGATTTTGGAAAATCTAATGTGGATCATACTTCTGATTACACTGAAATAATTTTGTCCTACATCAGCTACTAAAAGGGAAGACCCTCCCAAAGATTACCAGGATATGAGGGGGTAAGAGATCAGAGCATCCTCCCTTATGTGGGAGTAACTGTATATGCAGCAACATCATGGTGACATTGCCCAGAAAAGTGTTTCTGCCTCTGAGAATGGGCTCTCCCTTCTCACCTGGAGCAGCTCCATGTCAGGCTTGTGGCACACCTCCGTCAGCTCTCTGTACATTTCTTTCAGACTTTCCTTCTGTTGAGCCATTCTGAATACACTCTCCTTGAGTTGGTCGGAAATCTCCTTGGCTTCCTTCTCCAGTGCCTCCAGATGGACTTGCTCCTCCTCCTGGAGAAATAGATGCATCTTCCGATACTGAGCTCGAACCGTCACCTTCCTCAAGGACACATAGTTCTGCAGAGATGGTGGATGAAAAAGAGTTACGCATCCTCACTCTCAAAGGAAAGCTTCAAATGTGACTTCCCTAATGGCATCAAGCAAGATCTTGACAAACTTTCTGCCTCACACCTGAAAGCGTCTTGAATACTTGCTGGTCCTTTCTGTCCATCCTTTGTCTATGTTCCTAGTCTCTTTCCCAGTTTAAATCAAGCCATCAAGTGGCCCCAGGCTCCCTCCCTGGGATGCTTCTTCAGGGTTCTTATCCCATCAAATATTTTCTCTCTTACCTGAATCTTCTCTTCCTCTTGTTCCTTTACCTGATTTTTCTAAATCTTTTCTAAATATTTTTAAAAATCAGGTAAACTCCATATTGTAAAGTTTAAAAAAAATTCTCTTGTTTCTCCTCTAGCCCTTTCCTCTCCTTCACAGCCACACAAGGGCCATGTTGTCTTTTACTCCGTGTCTGTTAAGTTTATCCCAGCCACCAAAATACTTCTCATGACCTGATTGCCCATAGTATAGCATTCTTTGAATTCGCCTGTATTGACCTGTATATTTGTGATTACTGATCGGTCCTTTGAAGCCACTAGTTTTCCAGGGAAGAGACTTGGTAACTTGAATTTAGCTGAAAGTCTAAGCCAGAATTATATCAATCTCCATACCAAAAAAAGAAAAAAAGAACATTTTCATTCTTACCTCAAATGACTGGATTTTGTCAGTTTCCTGGTTCAGATTGTTTTGCATTTCTTGATTCATTTTCCATAAAGAGCCCATTCTCTTTAGAAGTTTCTCCTGCAAAGTAGAAACTTTGGGCTTTAGTGACCCAGAAGTTGACACTGTAAATTTCATCCCCTTATTTATTAGCAAAGGCTCATAAATTGAGAAAAAGAGTAATCTTGAGTCAGAATGGGGTGGTCTGATTTTTCCACATTAATCTAATCTGACTCTAATATTTCAAATACCGAAAGTGATTGGAATGTATACTAGCAAATTGAGGGAAATCCACAGATAAGAAAATCCATTTCCTAGGAAACTGAAACTCAGCCTTTGATATAAACTGACTAAGAAAGCATCGAGCTTACATCCAAAGCCAGTGTTCCTGGTGCTGCCACCTGCCCCAGGATGCAGCAGTCCCACATATTTGGACCGCTGGTCAGCAACATTGCAACAATACACTTATATCGTGGGATTCACATTGACAATCGCCACCACCACCGTCTCCATTCCCATCAGCTTCATTATCATTCTCATCTTTTTCTCCTGTTTGGGAGCCTGTGGACTCCACATAGCTTTAGAAGCATCACCTACCCTGTATTCATCAGCAGCCCATCGTAGTGGCCAGTGGCTGTGAGCCCCATGTTCTGGGGATTCAGAGCAGGACCCACAGAGCAGGGTCTTGTCCACCTCACAGAAGAGCCCCTTCGCTTCTTGGTGTGTCGCACAGATCTGCTGCTCAGAGCTGCTGATGTGGTTAGCTTTAGCCTGTCTGGCAAGGGAAGCCAGCCTCTTGAGAACAATATTGGTTTTAAACTCTGGCTTCTCTGACACTGCCCTGCACTCAGGGCAGCTCAGTGGGGTTAGGGCTTCCTCCCAGCAGAGGTGCAGGCAGGGACTGCAGAAGCTGTGCCCGCAGTCTGTGGTGACAGGATCTATGAAATAGTTCATACAGATGGAGCAGATAAGTTCATTCTGGAAGGCTTGCATGAAGCCTCCTGAATCCATGCTTCTATAAATTAACAAGAAAAAGAGAGTAAGAGAGAAAGTCATTCTTCTACCCTTATTAAAAAAAAATCCTTTGGACAAAGTCTTGTGTGATTTACCTACTTGCCTATCTCCAGAACAAACCTAGAAATGGTGAATACAGACAGGTTGGGTTTCTGCTATGAAACAATGATAAAATAAGAGAGTCCTTTGCAACTTTTTGCTTAAGGTAAACCATGTTCTCAATCACACTGAAGTTACTTGGAAAAGTTTAAAGATTAGAGCAGAGAGTAAAAGAGGGTGATAAAAGGAACATCAGCGCACCCTCGCATTTTCAACTGCTGAATGTTCCAGCGACAATGATAATCAGCAAAAATGAATCAATAGTTAAAAAAAAAGTTAGAATAAACACTGGGATATTCTCTCTATACTAGAATATCCAGAGGTGAAGTCAATGGAAGCGTGACGGTGTCCTCTTTGTTTCTGATATTTCCGCACGTGACCAATGCCACCTGGGAGTTTCTACCAGTTGGTTAGATCTATTCTGAACACTTTTCAAATCTAGACTACAAACTGAAGGCTTTAAACAGATAGCAAATAAGACCTTACAACAAGGTGTTCTAATTAATCCAACCCATTTAACGCTTGGGTTAATCTGCACAAAGACCATGAAATGTATATATGATATTGAACATTTTTGGTGTTTTATGAGTTTTGTGTATGTGTATATATATATATATACATATGAAATTTCTTTTAAAAACCTAAAAACATCTAGTAACCCATAAGGTAATAGAATAAAAAGGATTAAGTAACTTAATATTACAAATATCAGTATATTTTAATTGTTCTAGTTACGGATATTTTCAACATTGATGTCATTTTTTAATAAAAAAAAAAAACTAAGAAAACTACTTGTTTGTTTGGACAAGACTCAAGCAGGCCAACAGGAAAATTAAAATTACTGGGATAAGAGAAATTAGGCACGGAGATATTTACAATCAATTCCGTGTTCACCAGAGTCTCCTGCGAGCGGTCTCAGCTCTGGAAGGCTGGACGTCTGGAAGTCTGTGGCTGTCAGGGTCAACGAGAACTCTCCGACGCCCAGCCGCAGCAAACTCCCTCAGTCTACGCTGATGAAGCAGTGACCACTGGACAAAGGTGCTTTATAAAGCGTTAGACTCACCTAAGGCCACACCTACGTCTTGAGATTGAGTCCTGTCTTCAAAGGGGATTGGAAAACACTGATTGGATCACTCGGAAAGATGTGCAAGTGGGTGATTAGGTTATAGGAAACAACACCTGGGGAGTAAGACCCTAAAAGAATGTAGACTTCGGGTTTTTTCATTGAAGTGTGATAAGTTTACAATTTTGTGTCAATTTCTGGTGTGCAGCACAGTGAATATAGACTCCTTTTAGGGTAAACGGAAGAAGGTGACTGGGCACAAGTTGTTTGAAAATGCATTTTAACGGAAGCCGTGGTTTCATGAAATGATTTTTTATTCTACAAGCAATGGCATCACAATTTTTCAAATTTATTTTCCTATTCTACTTTTAACATTTGTAATAGCCAACGAAGTCTCTAGCCATTGTTTATTTGATTATGCCCAATAATAAAACATTCACTGAAATAACTGGACACATCGGCACTGTATACCTTTCTCATAAAAAAAAATGTAACTAGGCACTCAAATGTGGTTTCAATAATTGTATAGTAATTGTATATATAATAATTTGTTGAATTAACTTTCCTAGTTAACTGATATATTTAATTAATATCAGTGGGTATATTTATATTAGATATTAATATAATGTAGTAATTATTTGCATAATAATTATGTTTAATAAAATGCATAAAGAAAATTGTTGTTTTATTAAGGTATAATTGACATATAATGTTCTATAAGTTTCAGGTATACAACATAAACATATACATATACAACATTAAAAAGTGGGTATTTTTATATACTGTGAAGTAATCACCACAATAAGTCTAGTTAACATTTGTCATGGTACATAGCTATAAATTCTTTTTCTTGTAATGAGAATGTAGGATCTAGTGTCTTAGAATCTTTCAAATATGCAATAAAGTATTATTAACTATGGCCACCATACTGAGCATTCTGTGGAATGTTATTTTTAGCACAGGTGCCAGACTATCTGTATTTTGCTGACACTTATCACAGTTCAACAAATTACCCGTGGTTAGATATTAGATGTTTCATTAAGTTATGTAATGTTTGGGGATTTAGGCCTTATTTTTATGACATAGGAAAATAATCTAACCTTGCTAGAAATTGAAAAAGTGAAAATGTCAATAAAAGTCACATTTTAAAAAATTACCAAAATGAAAAAAATAATAGCCATGCAAGCCAGCATATGCTAGAAGGAGGAAAAGTAGCTGGCCTCTTACTCCAAGCGTAGGACTGTAAATTAACGTAAGCCTCACTTGTCTAGCAATTATACTTCAATAATGTGTCCTCAAGAGATTAAGGAAAGGAAAGGAAGCAGTCTATATACTACTAAGGTATATGGAGATGTGTACATGAGGGCTTTTCCTGAAATTTCATTCTCGGAAAATTGCGCCAAATGTTTCTTCACGTGTTACATATCATCTACATAAGCACATAGAGGAAGAGCTTTCTAATCTCATTTTTCTGTGGACATTAAGTGGTTGGGTGTATAGTGCTATTAAATGATGCTCTTTCTTAGAGGGCTTTCTCCAACATTTGCAAGCGCCATTGTTCCCTGGATTAGTGGTTATTTCACAAAGCATTCCAAAGTTGTATACACCAGACTCTGTGGTCTCATCCCTACCTCAAATAATAAATACAGTAATTAATCCGTTGCTACCCTTCCTATGTTTTACTAAATACCATAGTAACTTCTCGATTACCCTATCCTCCAGCAACCTAGTCATCAAAGGTGAGACAAAATCTCCCTAGAATCTGGACATTATAGACTAGTGGGAAAGCAAATGCATATATATAGAACTGAAAAATGTGTAACATTTCTGATAAGGAAGAGAAATCTGCCGTGTACAGATTGGAGAAGACAATAGACAGCACCTGGCTGAACCTGCCATTCTTTCCCCCCTCATCCTTCCATGGGGAAAGCCCCCTGAAAACACATTTATTAAAATGACTTGAGCCCCTGGGATGGCCAACACTGAGCCTGCCAAAAAGCAGAAAAGAGCCACGCCCACTCCTGTGTGCTAATTCTGCAACAGTTAACCAACGTGACTTCACCAGTGTTTACAGGCTTAACTCGATTAAAAAAAAAAAAAGAACTTAATATGAACACAAATGTTAAACTGTCTCCAGAAGCTATACGTTGTAACAAATTTATTGATGCATTCTCCTTTAGTTATAAAGACTAGGGAAAAGCAAGCTTGCAGTTCTGACGGAGAGCTAGACGTCTGGTAGACAGCACAGTGGCACTATTAAGATGGGTCTCACGGGCATGGTCCGGACTCGGGTTGGCTGCCTGCTACTGCTGTCTTCTCCTCTTAGCTTGCTGATGCTTGTCATAGTTGAAGCCAGGTTCTAGAAATAGAGGTCAAAGTTCATTCAGGTGGAGGGACCTTTTTTATTTGAGAGAGGTGAATCAATGAATTAACGTCTTTCATTTTGGCTACCTATGGATTAGTTAATAATACCTGATGAGGTTCTTTCTTAGCAGAAAACCATCTAGTTTTCCACTGTTGAGTCCGATGCTAGCTGGAAGATTTTTTTGATGTGTTCTTTATTAAGTGCCTGAAACTCTCTCATTCCCAGTTTGCTAAGCCTTTTGATAAAATCACGAATGAAACTCAGATTGTGTCAAATGCTTTTTCTGTGACTATTGATTTGATGTGATTTTCCTTTTTTAGCCTGTTAGTGTGATCGTTACA